TGCCCGGGTCTGTCCCGTGCCACCCGTGCCCGGGGCACTGCCCTACCTGCCAGTAGCGCTGCAGCAGCTCGCTGGTGCGCGGCTCCGCCGCCTCGTGCAGCACGTACAGCACGTGGGCCACCATGGCGCTCCTGGGGACACAGGAATTGTTCTCACTGCACACAACCTTCTGACAAGGGTCAGCAAATGTTTAACATTTTTAATTCCCTGAAATTCCCCACCAGCAAACAGCCCTGGGTGTCATTTTGGGGCAACAATTGGGATTATTCACATTACACACAAGTTTCAGACAAGTGTCAGGAGATTTTTACATTTCTAATTCCCTGAAATTCCCTACCAGCAAACAGCCCTGGGTGTCATTTTGGGGCAACAATTGGGATTATTCACATTGCACACAACCTTCAGACAAGCATCACAAGATTTTTACATTTCTAATTCCCTGAAATTCCCTGCCAGCAAATAGCCCTGGGTGTCATTTTTTGGCAACAATTGGGATTATTCACATTACACACAACTTTCAGACAGGCATCAGCAAATTTTTAACATTTTTAACTCCCTGAAATTCCCCACCAGCAAACAGACCTGGGTGTCATTTTGGAGCAACAATTGGCATTATTCACATTACACACAAGTTTCAGACAAGCATCATCAGATTTTAACATTTTTAACTCCCTGAATTCTCTGCCAGCAAACAGCCCTGGGTGTCATTTAGGAGCAACAATTGGGATTATTCACATTACACACAAGTTTCAGACAGGCATCAGCAGATTTTAACATTTTTAACTCCCTGAAATTCCCTGCCAGCAAATAGCTCAGGATGTCAGTTAGGGAAATGGATGCAGGAAAGGGCTGCAGGGAAGGGCTGCAGGGACAGGAATGCAGGAAAGGGCTGCAATGAAAGGAATGCAGGAAAGGAATGCAGGGAAGGGATGCAGGGAAGGGATGCAGGGAAGGGATGCAGGAAAGGGATGCAGGGAAGGCTGCAGGGACAGGAATGCAGGAAAGGGATGCAGGAAAGGCTGCAATGAAAGGAATGCAGGGACAGGAATGCAGGGACAGGAATGCAGGAAAGGGCTGCAGGGACAGGGCTGCAGGGACAGGAATGCAGGAAAGGGATGCAGGAAAGGAATGCAGGAAAGGGCTGCAGGAAAGGCTGCAGGAAAGGCTGCAGGAAAGGGCTGCAATGAAAGGAATGCAGGAAAGGGCTGCAGGAAAGGGCTGCAATGAAAGGGATGCAGGAAAGGGCTGCAGGGACAGGAATGCAGGGACAGGAATGCAGGAAAGGCTGCAGGGACAGGAACGCAGGAAAGGCTGCAGGAAAGGCTGCAGGGACAGGAATGCAGGAAAGGCTGCAGGGACAGGAACGCAGGAAAGGCTGCAGGAAAGGGCTGCAGGGACAGGAATGCAGGGACAGGAATGCAGGAAAGGCTGCAGGAAAGGCTGCAGGGACAGGAATGCAGGAAAGGCTGCAGGGACAGGAACGCAGGAAAGGCTGCAGGAAAGGCTGCAGGAAAGGCTGCAGGAAAGGCTGCAGGAAAGGCTGCAGGGACAGGAACGCAGGAAAGGCTGCAGGAAAGGCTGCAGGGACAGGAATGCAGGAAGGGCTGCAGGAAAGGCTGCAATGAAAGGAATGCAGCTGCAGTACCTGGCAGCGTCCGTGTATCTGTGCAGGCTCCGAAAGCAGGCGGCTTGGCGCAGGTGGTTGCAGAAGTGAGAGGGGTTCTGGGCGATGCTCCTTGGGGAGAGAAGAGGCACGGACAAGGTGAGGCTGGCATTTATGACGTCGCCAAAACTCCTAAAAACGTGGCTGGGGCAGGTGCCAGGTGCGCTTCTGCTCCGTATCTCAAATAAATGTATATCTGATATATCGCCACTTCTCGAATGTCAGGTGAGCTCTGCCTCGGCTGCCCTCTCCCTCCCTCCAGCTGTGACGGATGAGGAAAACATGGCTAAAAATATGACTTAAAGGTTCGTCCCAAGGTGGTTTTAGATCCTAATTGCAATTCCACTCGGGGGTTTGTGTCTCTAGGAATAAACGCTCCAGGGGTAATATTCCCTTTTACTTTGGCGTGTGAACATCCTGAGCACAAACTGCGCAAAGAAAGAATCGGAGACCCACACATCGATTATTTTCTCATTATTAATCTGGCTCTTCCTGCTCAGCATTTATTCCTAATTGCAATTTCACTCGGGGGTTTGTGTCTCTAGGAATAAACGCTCCAGGGGTAATATTCTCTTTTACTTTGGTGTGTGAACATCCTGAGCACAAACTGCCCAAAGAAAGAATCTGAGACCCACACGTCCTGTCGATTATTATTTCCTCTTTATCCCGATTATTATTTCCTCATCCTCTCAATTATTATTTCCTCATCCTCTCGATTATTATTTCCTCGTTATCCTGATTATTATTTCCTCATCCTCTCGATTATTATTTCCTCATCCTCTCGATTATTATTATTATTTCCTCATTATCTCGATTATTATTTCCTCATTATCCCGATTACTATTTCCTCGTTATCTCGATTATTTTTCCCTCGTTATCCCGATTATTATTTCCTCATTATCTCGATTATTATTTCCTCATCCTCTCGATTATTATTTCCTCATTATCCCAATTACTATTTCCTCGTTGTCTCGATTATTTTTCCCTCGTTATCCCAATTATTATTTCCTCATTATCTCGATTATTATTTCCTCATCCTCTCGATTATTATTTCCTCGTTATCTTGATTACTATTTCCTCGTTATCCCGATTATTATTTCCTCATTATCTCGATTATTATTTCCTCATCCTCGCGATTATTATTATTTTTTCCTCATCCTCTCGATTATTATTTCCTCATTATCCCCACTATTTTTCCTCATTATCCCGACTATTTTCCCTCGTTATCCCGATTATTTTCCCTCGTTATCCCGATTACTTTTCCCTCGTTATCCCGATTACTATTTCCTCGTTACCCCGATTATTTTCCCTCGTTATCCCAATTACTTTTTCCTCATTATCCCGATTATTTTCCCTCGTTATCCCGACTATTTTCCCTCGTTACCCCGATTATTTTCCCTCGTTACCCCGACTATTCCCCTCGTTACCCCGACTATTCCCCTCGCTGTCGCCCCGGCTCTCCGCGCCCCGTGTCCCGCCCGTGTTGTGTTTTCCCCACCTGTGGGAGTGGAGCAGGGCCAGGCCGGGCTGCCCCAGCTTCAGGTGGCACACGGCGAGCTTGGCGTGGATGGAGCTGGCCAGCGTGGAGCCGTGCTCCGGGCAGGACCTGGGGCCACGCCGGGCGCCGGAGCCGCCGCCGAGCTGCACGGGGAGCAAAACCCAACCATCAGCGCTGATCGGCCCAGGAGACGCGGCTCCGATGCTCAAAACTACAGCCAGAACCCGGGTTTTTACCAGAAAAGTGCAGAGGATAGAATGCTCCTTCAGGGATGTCCCGGGGGTTTTGTTTTTTTGGTTCTGAGAGTTGGATTTAGGGGATGCTGAGGAGCACCGGCCCCACAATTCACAATTAATGCCAGGGGTTAATTCCCTCCTCCTTTGTCCAGGTATCTCCATCCTCCAGCCTTTCCCCTCAGGAACAGATAAAATAAATCCCTTTTCTTTCTTTCCCCTCAGGAACAGATAAAATAAATCCTTTTTCTTTCTTTCCCCTCAGGAA